TGAAGAAATCAAAACAAAGAATTTTTGCTATCTGTCTTCCACCATGGCTGGAGATAAGCCATTCATAAGAAATATTTTGATTCAATTCCTTAATGCATTGTTGATACCATAACCAAAATTACAGATCAGTTCACTTTCAAAAAAAGAAGCAGCACTTAAAGGCAGGGATAAAGGCCTTTGATGCAAGTATCCCTGGCAAGGTGAGTTCAACATTGTGTAATATAAACTACAACTGATTTCTCTGACTTCCAGAAAGAGAAAAGTTTATACTGATATTGCTATAGCAAAATCAATTTCCTGGTCTGCTATGTCTGATATGACGTTTTTGTTCTGTAAAGTCAAAGACTGAATTTTAGGAACAATGGAAATTAACAGAAGAATATACTTATTGAGAGAACGAAAGCTGCCTGAGACAGAGAAGGGGTCCTGAGGAGGTTGCCAAACACTGTCCTTTCTAGGGATCTTTATAGAGTAAAATAATGTGGTGAAATTAGTTTAAGGAGGGGAAAACTAGGAACTCACAATGCAGATGGGCATAAGATGGGACAGAGATAAGGTAGCCAATAAGATTATAAGTTCAGGTAAAGTTGATTAAATTGGGAACAAAGAGGGAAGGGAGTCACATAGAAAGCAGGCATTCTTAGGCAGCTGTGACTTCGCTTAGGGGTTTGGGAGGGTGACTACTGAGGTCATCAGGATGACAGGAACTATGTAGAATGTCAGTCTTTAACAGGATACATTCCATTGAATGGTGACTCCTGACTTCCTCAGAGTGCTAGGGAACTATTTAGAATATCAATCCTTAGGATATGGATGAATTTGCTTGTCATTTGTCTTCAGCCTTGGCCCATAGCATGAGGTGTCAGTCTTCCCCATAGTTGCAAGGTATCTGGTCTCCTGCATGGGCTCCTTGGGGGACCTAGCCCTGTCTCCTGCCAATACTATTTAAATAACTCAGGTCCCTGTAACAGTACTGTTTGGAAAATTGATTAGAGATGTCTTGTGCTCTATGTGAATGACCTGGGTATGACAATGTGCAATGTATATACCAGTGTTGCCCCCTGATTAACATGTTTTGAAGTTTAATTTTAGTTGATGTGTTCTTTTTTCCTTGAAATCAAATGGATTTGAAAATTAAAAGCCTGAGGTAAAGCTCTTCTGTAGAAACACCCCTCTGTCGAGCTGAGTTCACCACTGTAGAAGAATGGCAGCTCAAGAAGCTTCTGCACTACAGTGTATCATTTGGGATCCTCTCTTGCAGGGTTAGGGTTCCTTTCCCTGTTTATTCTTGACTCAGAAGGAGGGCAGTAGAGCAGGAGTCAATCAGTGATGAAGGGGCAGGCTATATGAACTGTCCAATCCAACAGGCCATTGCTGGCTGTGACCTCTGTCTCTTCTGGTGTCTCATCATGATTTACCTGTTCTGAGTATAATACTGGTAGCAAAATGCTTTCTGGATCTCATTTAGTTCTTTTGATGTCCTGTGGCCTGATTAGCAAAGAACCTGAGAGATCTTGGAGCCATGGAAGGGTGAGGTTGTGGATGGGAGCCCAGAGATAGGGTGGATTGGGTGAAACCAGTTACAAGTATGTAGGAGTAGTTCTGGTGTCTGGAGCCTCAGGTATTTAGTTAGCTTCAGCTCCTGAGGTCCTCAAGCATTGGCCATGGGTCATTCACTCTCCCTTTTGCCTCTTGATGTTGGCAAGGGTGATTTGGGGTCCCCAGAACCCTGGCTCCACTATGACAGCAGCAGACTCAAGTATCATCTTTGAAATTCACTGCTGGCCTGGTAACTCCACAATCTTAAGCATTGGAAGGAGCTTGGGAAGACCCTGACTATGATGCTTTTTGTAGCTTGTAGAGCAGTAATGAGCTACGTCTCTGCTCTCTTTCCTCAGAGTAGCTGATCTGGAATGTCCAAAGTTCATTAATGCCTGTAATGCAGGGCTTTATAGTCACAATGGCTCAAATTAAGCTGTGGCTTTTTTGTATTTATAGTGGTCTCCTATATTTATAGTATGTTCTCATATTTCCATCCTCATGACAGGTAGTGGCAAAGGTCCTAAGAATACAGAGATGTGTAGTAATGTGCTTCAGTAGAGGAAGGCTTCCCAAACACCTGGTAAACTCCTGTGTATTATACAGAACAGTGCAAAATAATTTCTGAACATACTTAATTATTTATGTGGCACCCCTGCTCACAGACTAGGTTTGTGAGCACAGCCATAGAGTTTTGAAGTTTGAGAAAAATGAAGCAAATATGAAAATGTTATCAAGGACAGAGTAAAAATTTATTAAGGACAAATTCCAGAAAGGGCTACCTGTTAAATTCCCATCAAAAAATGCCAAAATATAGGCATTTGCAGGGACATATACACATCATATCGTTCTAAATGGAAAGGAATCGGGGTGTCATCTGAATTAAGAGCTGATTTAGTAGTTTGGTTGTTCATAGACAGTTTAAATATGGAAATGCTCTGCAATGGTCTTTACTAAGTGCTGATTTAGTCGTTTGTTTGTTCATGGACAGTTTAAATTTGGAAATGCTCTGCAATGGACTTTACTAAGTGGTGTAAAGGAGATGCTCTAAATAGAAATTTTGTAGTGATATCAATAGTTTGGCATGAAGGGTTTCCTGCTGAGGATGGATCAGAGGAGCATGGAAAGGATGTGCAAGTGACTGACAGGATGCAGGAAGCCAATAGCAGGACATACAACAGAGAGGGTCTTCACTGAAATTCAGGTAGTTCTTAGAGTAAGTATGAAGTTAAAGTTGGGTTCTGATTGCTTCCTTGAGGTGATCAACACCAGCTCTGGCAACAATCAGTATTTCACGTCCTTGTCAACCCATTTATTTTTTGTTCCATACTTGAGATTTAATTTGGATTATCTCTAATGCTCCAATGTCATGAAGGTAAAATTTGGATTTTTTTGTACCAAGGATCAAACTCATGACCTATGCTTTCTAGGAAGGTGGTCATGCCACTGAGCTAAATACCCAACTATGAAAGTGTTTTCTGTGTAGTATGGAAGATATCCACATTGTTTCTCAGAAAGTGTTGAACACTATTGGCATTTTTCGGGATTGTATGGCTATAATTTTTAAAAACAAACCAAAGGTGTCTTATGCATTCTCTTTGCAAGTTTCACTTTGTCTGTGGGGTGTCTCAGTCAGGGTTTCTCTATTTTATACAGCTCTGTAATTTAGGATAGCCCAAAATTCAAGGAAGAACTCCTTCACCAGCCTCCCAAGATATATTTCTTATATCTGAATTGAAAGTGATCGCTTGGTGACAGTGAGCTGTAAATTACAGCTTGGGCCTGGTTCCATTTTATATACTTATTTTTTAAAAACAGTATTTTCCACTAACATTTGAGTTATTATTTGTGTACCATATTGGATGTTATTTATGTTTTGTTCTATGAAACCAAATTCATGTTTCAAAATGCTGCTGGAGTATATTAAGAACAAAGTACTCACTGGCCTAAATGAGATTTGAAGACACATTATCTGTAGCCTATCAAAGTGATTGATGAGATTTTTTTTCTTTTTTTAAATTTTGAAAGTGGTAAATTACAACACAACAAGGCGGAATAAGGCCAACTAAGATCATACAGTGAAGTTGGTACACAACTTCACAACAGGTTACTGGGATAACAGTAATAGGTATCACAACATATTTTATTATCTTTATAATAGTTGTTCTTTCAAACATTTGTATCAAAATGAGATGAAATAGAGAACATTATAGTACTTATCAAAACAGAACATTGAATAGAGCAATACCATTAATCAGAATAGGGCAAAACAGTAATAAAAATATTTGCCTTCAAAGAGATACTACAAGGAAGTCCCCTTTATTTGTTATGGTTTGCTTCCCAGGAGAAGCTCAGATTTCTGGTTCCCTTTGCTAATGGGGGGAGGGGGTGACAGGAGAAGAGGGGTAGGGAAGTGGGATGTTTGATTCTAGGCCGTGCATCAGTAGGTTCACTATTGCTTAGTAGGGAAACAGGCTGCTTGTTTGGTTTCACAGCATCCTAAGTTCCCACATAGCGTGGATCTTAGGAGCTGCTGCTGGTTTGCCCCCTGGATGGGCCACAGTCTGCCACATTGCCACCACTTATCAGGAGGGAGGTCCTTGCTTGGCTTCCCAGTTGATTGATGGGATACTTATCTGCCTCTGTGCTTTGTGGATGCTGGTTCTGCAGGCTTCTCACTGTGAGCTCTGCTTTAGAGACAGTATACAGGGAATCTTGCAGTGACTCAGCACAAGAATCAGTGGTCCTATTTCACTGTTACATTAGCAGTGAGTTGCAATCTATCATCAAATTTGCTGTCTTCAAAAATGTGTATATACACAAAATTAATGACCAAAACATGGATTTAAATTTGAAGAAATCAGTCTTCATTCAGCTGTTTTGTTTGGTTTTATTAGTTTTGTTTTATTGAGGCAAGCTTTCTGTATGTATATCAGCTGGATTTGAACACCCTATGGAGCCTAGAATTGCCCAAACTCTCCGAAGCCATCTTGTCTTAGCCTTTTGAGTGCTGGGATTGTAGATATGCACCACCACACTTTGCTTTTGATTCAGATTTGTAGGAGAGAATTTAAGATATCACAAACCTGGTGTCTCAACCTTTGTGTGAGAAATATATGTATGGTCCTTTAGGAGGTGATGACCTTTGAGGATGTGGTTGTGAAGTTCAGCAATGAGGAGTGGACTTTGCTGAGTCCATCCCAAAAGAACCTCTACAGAGATGTGATGGGCGAAACCTTTCGGAACATGACTGCAATTGGTAAGGACAAAATACTTTTTTCACTCATGCTGTCAGAATGTTTTATGTCACTCATTAGTGCTGTTTGATTAAAAACAATGTGAAAATATTTTTAAAAATAGCTCAGAATGACACATTATATCATAACTCTAAACAAAATCTATTAATTGGTATGTATTATTCTAATGAGCACTGGTATTTCTATGTCTACAATTCAGGAGGACTTGGGGATATCCAGGAAGCTGAAAAAGAATGCAAAATTTACTGGAGATACTTAAGGTAATTCACACTCACAAGGAGAAGGAATGTTCCTGAGTAATTAGTGAGTCAGCAGCAAAATGACAACCAAACAAATGAGGCACCATTCAATTTATTGTCAGTAATATTCTCCGAAGTCGTATAAGCTAGGATATGTATAATGAGGGAATTAAATCATGAAAATGTATGACATTGCATATAGATGTGTATGAAAGGCATGCACTTTGAGTTATGATATTCTCCCTTCCGTTTTTCTACCCATATATACATGTGAATACAACACATTCATTATCTAAAAATTTCTACGATTGCAATAGAATTTGAAGTAAAACAGAGTGCTTGTGTTTCCAAGCCATGCTCTAAAGAATCAGCCATTCTGACTAAAATTCTTAGAAGGCTGGTGGAATGTTAAGTGCACTCATTCTGAATATCAGTGTGCATTTGTCTCTAGAAATTGATCCCCTCATACTTATCTTGGATATATTTTTAAAAATTCAAAATCCACATAAAATACTGATACAAGCTTACTCATATACAAAGCGGATCAAGTTATAATAGATCATGCCGTGAAGAAGCTTAGCTATCTATCCCTGGATTTGTGGAGAAGGAAAATGTTAATAGACTCTCTGTGATTCTGCATTCTTGTAAATCCAGCACACTAGGAATCAGATTTTGCAGAGTGGCAAATTCAAGTTCAAACTTCACAGCTTAATGATCAGCGAAAATCTCTTAAAACACATTTAAAAAGCTATAGATTTTATGGTAATAGCTGTTGTTCATTCCCAGCATGGAAGAGAAAAAAATGTGTTATATGATGTCAAAAAATAAATAATATTATGTCATTTGCCATAAGAAATAGGTGGTTCTTTCTCTCATCAATTCAGTGAAATAGCTCAGCTATAAAATCTAAAAGGTCACAGGGTTTCTTTTAGATGAGAAACCAAAATATAAGTTGTGGAATGAAATGAAAAAGTTAATAGAGAAAAGTAAGACTGGCCATATGGAAAAGGGAACTACAGGTTAAGGACAGAAGGGAGATTGTGATGGGCAAATGTATCAGAATAATCTGTATGTGATACACATATCTACCAATGCCCAAAGTGAAGCTAAAGATTCTGCATTTCAAAAGGTACCAAATTTTAAGATTTCCAAGTGTGTACCAGTCTTTTGGGAATGGTTGTTTTCAACATGTCTTATAAGGCCATTCTGTTAATTCATGTTCAGAATTTCTTAGCAGGCATTAAAAGCAGAACTTGACATTAATGCAGTCATTAAACTGAGACCCATTTCACTGTGAATTTTTCTTTTTTTTTATTTAATGTAAGGAAAGACTAAAATAAAACAAAATAAGTAGAAATGATACCACTTTCAAAGTGAAAAAAAACAGTAAGAAATCTAAAGACAATGGTTACGTATGCTGCTCATAGAAATAGTTAATGAAATACAAAAGTGAAACATAAGAAGTCTGGATTCAAACAGTGAGAATGCAAACAATTTTGTTCAAATCTCCAATAAAAACTTAGTAATATGTGATTTTTCTTTACAGAAATGACAAGCTAGGGAAATCCTACGGACAAACATCTTGGAATCAGTGTAAAGAAGTATTCCTTTTTACTGCAGAAGGTAATGTGAATATGAAAGAAGCAGAAATACACCACAGTGTTCAGATCCATGAAAAATATTGCAGTGGAGAGAAATCCTATGTATGTCAGCAGTGTGGAAAAGGGTTCACCAAATCTGGACTTTTTAAGCAACATGAAATAATTCACACTGGAGTGAAACCATATGTATGTAAGAAATGTGGGAAAGCTTTTAACAGACGGGCAAATTGTAAAATACATGAAAGCATTCACACTGGAGAGAAACCCTATGTATGTAAGCAATGTGGGAAAGCTTTTAACACACAGGGATATTTTAAGAAACATGAAAGAATTCACTCTGGAGAGAAACCCTATGTATGTAAGCATTGTGGGAATGCTTTTACCCGACATGGACCTTGTAAGGAACATGAAAGTATTCACACTGGTGAGAAACCATATGTATGTAAGCATTGTGGGAAAGCTTTTACCCGACATGGACCTTGTAAGGAACATGAAAGAATTCACACTGGCGAGAAACCATATGTATGTAAGCAATGTGGGAAAGCTTTTAACACACGGCGAGATTGTAAAATACATGAAAGAATTCACAGTGGAGAGAAACCCTATGTATGTAAGCAATGTGGGAAAGCTTTTAACAGACAGGGAGCTTTTAAGAAACATGAAAGAATTCACACTGGAGAGAAACCCTATGTATGTGAGCAATGTGGGAAAGCTTTTAACACACGGGCAGATTGTAAGACACATGAAAGAATTCACACTGGAGAGAAACCCTATGTATGTGAGCAATGTGGGAAAGCTTTTAAAACACGTGCATATTATAAGATTCATATAAGAATTCACACTGGAGGGAGACCATATGTATATAAGCAATGTGGGAAAGCTTTTACCACACAAGGACATTGTAAGGCACATGAAATAATTCACACTGCAGTGAAACCATATGTATGTAAGCAATGTGGGAAAGCTTTTAACACACGGCGAGATTGTAAAATACATGAAAGAATTCACACTGGAGAGAAACCCTCTGTATGTAAGCAATGTGGGAAAGCTTTTAACACACAGGGATATTTTAAGAAACATGAAAGAATTCACACTGGAGAGAAACCCTATGTATGTACGCAATGTGGGAAAGCTTTTAACACACGGGCAGATTGTAAGACACATGAAAGAATTCACACTGGAGAGAAACCCTATGTATGTGAGCAATGTGGGAAAGCTTTTAAAACACGTGCATATTATAAGATTCATATAAGAATTCACACTGGAGGGAGACCATATGTATGTAAGCAATGTGGGAAAGCTTTTACCACACAAGGACATTGTAAGGCACATGAAATAATTCACACTGGAGTGAAACCATATGTATGTAAGCAATGTGGGAAAGCTTTTAACACACGGCGAGATTGTAAAATACATGAAAGAATTCACACTGGAGAGAAACCCTCTGTATGTAAGCAATGTGGGAAAGCTTTTAACACACAGGGATATTTTAAGAAACATGAAAGAATTCACACTGGAGAGAAACCCTATGTATGTACGCAATGTGGGAAAGGTTTAAACACACATAGACAGTGTAAGGAACATGAAAGAATTCACACTGGCGAGAAACCATATATATGTAAGCAATGTGGGAAAGCTTTTACCCAACATGGACATTGTAAGCAACATGAAAGTTCACACTCAAGATAAAACCAGGGTATATAAGCAACATGAGAACTTTTTTGAGCACAAGTACATATTGCATAATGCATGAAAAACTTCACACTGGGCAGAAAACTTATATATGCATTGAATGTGGGAAAGGTTTCAGCAGAAATGCTCATTGTCCAATACATGAAAAATTTTACACTGTTGAGAAACCCTGTTTATGTGAAGACTGTGGGAAAGCTTTCACCACACATGGATTTTGTAAAATACATCAATGACTCCACACTGGTGAGAAACCCTATGCATATAACAATGTGGTAAAGCTTTTAACACATACAGTCATTGCAAAACATATGAAAGAATTCACACTGGGATGGCTACATAAGCAAGTGGACATACTTTCAGCAGCCAGATTGTAAGTGAAATACATGAAGAAACTCACACAAGAGATAAATCCTATGTGTTATGGGAATACTCTCAGCACACATGATCATTGTTACATATCTGAAAGAGCTCACTGGATCCTATGTGTATTAACAGTGTGAGAAATACGGCAATCCATGTTTATTGTTAAATACATAGAAGAAGCAGCACTCTTCAGACAGTTTAGATCCAAATTTACTTTAAAAATTCCAAGTAGACCTGAAGAAATAATCAATACAGAAGTTTCATGTCAATATTTCTTCACAAATTTTCCAGAAACGACATATCTGAAGTGGGGCTCTACTCAAGTACACATTTTGTATGGTTTTCAGTTAATCACTTATACCTCTTTAGATTTTTTAATGTGTCTTTGTGCTTCAACATGGCATCTTGTAATTAAACATAGTAAACTGAAATGGGTTTTTCACTTTCAAGCATGGATAGTGTCTATGTACTAAATATTTTGTCTTTAAAACTTAATTTTCATATTTTTCATGAATTATTTTTATTTAAAGAAAAAACCAAAAAGTGTACAAACAATACAGAATTTCTAAAAAATAAACAAAAAGAAATCACTAGTTGATTAGTTACATATTGTCATCTTAGAAGTAATTGCTCATTATAAGATTAAGCATACAAAGTGATATTCAAATAATGACACTGAACAGTTTACCTCAGTGATCCAACAAAAACTTAATAATATGCTTGTATGTTCTACAATCTTTTTTTGTCTTAAAGACAGTAAGATTAAACATGACAAAACAAAGCAGAACAGTTCATAAGGAAACAAGTTAAGGAAACACATTTCAAAGCAAGTCCACTGAGATATTCATTGTCTATCTTACTGTCTCTAGTTTTCTTCAAAATAGTTTTTCCCATCTTCACATGCATTGAATATATACTGAACATTATAGAACTAATCAAATAATTACAGGGTGATGCAGGCTTTTGTGATCTTCAACACTGATTTTGGGGAAGTTGATAATGATTACCATAATGTGTCTCATTCTCTTCGTAGTAGACGAATTTATTTTTATGTATGCTGAAATTGAACATAAGAGACTAAACTAATATCACTCTGAATAGTGAATAATAGTATCCTGAGAAGGAGGAAGGTGAGGAATTGCCTAAATAAAGAAGGCAGAGCACATTGTTAAAAGTGTATCAGGATTTAAAAGCTACAGTAGTTCTGTTGCTCTGTTTAGTTTGATTATATTTTGTTCTGGTCTGTCTACTCATATTACATTTGAGTGCACAGAGAGATAACCCAAAAACAGCAGATTATACCATGATGGTAATTGTCCTTAATTTCCTATTAACTAAAACTGAAACCATGTATTACTTACATTGTCTTACTATGACTGATCTTATTTGAAGCTGGTTTGTTTGAATGTTATTTGGCCTTGACTGATTTTACTCACATTTGGTATGCTTGCTGGTATCAAGTCCAAGAGTAGAGGCAACTACTCTGAAGATGATAAGATGTCAAAGATATATATTGGGTGGCTGGGGATTTAGCTCAGTGGCTTAAGCCCCTGCCTGGCCAGTGTGAGGTTGTCAGTTTGATCACCAGTACCAAAAAATAAATAAATAAAAGATATAAATTCCATGTTTAATTTTTTTATTTAAGGAGAAAAAAAGAACATAAAAAACAAAGCAGTAAAAGGGTACAAATAATACAAAATTTCAAGAAAAAAATACAGTAAGAAATCACTAGTTAATAGGTTACATATTGTCTTCTTAGAAACAGTTGGCCAAATTATAAAATTAAAGCATATAAAGTGAACATTCCTACAGCAAGAGTGCAGACAGTTCTGTTCAGTGATCCAACAAAAGCTCAGTAATATGGTTTTCCTTCCTAAACACTCAAACAGGCACTTATATCCCTTAGACCACCTTCCTTTCCTCTCTTCTTCACAATAACAATTACACCTTTGGGGTTTTTTTTACTCCCATAGTTCTTATTACTTTTTTTGAAGAGAATAAAACCACAAGTGAGTTAACAAAACAGAGTTGGTTAGAACATAAGGATGGGCATAGTACTTGAAGCAAAAATAGAATATCAGGTGATCAAAAATGGTTACCACTGTGCCTCTTGCTATTTTTAAAAAGAGTTCCCTATATCTTCAGGTATAATAGAGCTGATCAAAACAGTACAGAACAAGACCAATAAAATCTACATTGGAGACCTTACAGAATTTCAAAAGAAGGTAATAGTCAAACCATAATGGGCATCATAGTAAATCTTATTGCCTACAAAGTGATTGCCTATACCCTCAAACTTGATACTATCAAACAAAATAGAATATAGTAAAATCAGGCAGAACAAGATGGGGAGAGCAATACTGGGGTTAAAATCAGGTTAATAGGAAAACAAAAAAGTTACTATAATATATCCCGCTATTTTTAAATTTAGTTTTCCTTTAATTGAAAAAGAATAAGAAAAAATTGAATAATTTTTAAAAGGGTGGAGATCGAAATAAAAGAGACATTGCAATAGAATAACACAGGTCAGAACTGAACAATTAAAGCATCATTTTGTTTCACCACCAGGTAATCTAACATACTAGTAGTCACCATAGTGCCTCTTTCCTTGAATTGTTTGAGTATAACTTCGTATACTATAGAATCAATCACATCAAGACAGTGTGAAGCCATTCAAGAGAATAAAAGAATTACAGGGTATTTAGAGCCAGTTAACAGAAAATGAACAACGATTTCTATATTATCTCTTTGCCTGTAAAAAATTTTATTTATACTATCACACTAAAATATATTAAGATACAACATGTTAAAATCAGTGGAAACATGTACAACAACTTGATGGGAGTTCCAAAGAAGGTGATATTAAATCAGCACTAGCTTTTATGATGTGTTATTTTCTTCAGAATAGCTATTTGTACTATCACAGATATTAAAATCGAAAAACCCAGGGTAAAACCATTGAACTTAATGAGTGAAAACATTATATGGATTCACACCAATATGATTGGGTATCATGATTACCACATACTTCTATGTATTATCATTTATTATACTAGGGAATATATTTGGTATTTATACATGTAAGTTTGATTTATTTCACTTATGAGTATGGTCTCAGTATGCATCCATTTATTCATATGTCAATGTGATCATTCTTTATAGCTAAGTAGTACTCCATTGTATAAAAACACCATAACTTTTTTATCCATTCCTCAGTTTATGGACACTTAGGTTGTTTCCAAAATCTGGCTATTACAAACTGTGCTGCTATAAAAATGGGTGCACATATATCACTGTGGAATGATGCTTTCAGTTCTTCTGTGAATATGCCTAGAAGTAGAATAGCTGGGTCAAAAGGTACTTCCAGTCCCAGATTTCTGAGAAATCTCTAGACTGACCTCCACAATGGTTGTACCAGTCACTCCAATCAACAGTGCAGGAGAGTTCCTTTGTCACAACAGCATCTCCAACATTTGTTGTTGGTGGTTTTCTTGATCTTGGCCATTCTTTCAGGAGTGAGATGAAATCTCAGTGTGGTTTTAATTTGCATTTCTCTAATGGCCAATGATGGTGAACATTTTTTCATGTATTTATTTGTCATTTGTATTTCTTCATCTCAAAATTGTTTATTCATCTCAGATGCTCATTTTTGGATTGGGTCTTTGAATTTTGGTGGTCTCATTTTTTAAAATTCTTTATATGTTTTAGACAGAAGTCCTCTGTCTGAGGGGCAGTTCACTAAGATTTTTTCCCAGTTTGTGGGTTTTCTTTTCACTGTACTTGAGATTTCTTTTGATGTGCAGAAACTTTTTAATAAGAAGTGATCCCAATTATTGATTCTGGGAAGCATTTTCCATGCAGTTTGAGTCCTGTTCATCAATTCTCTACCTACTCCTATGTCTTCAAGGTTTTTACCCAATTTGTCTTCCAATTGATTTAGTGTTTCTGTTTTAATATTTAGATCTTTGATCCATTTAGATTTTATTTTAGTACTTGGTGATAGGCATGGGTCTAGTTTTAGTTTTAGGCATATGGAGAGCCAGTTTTTCACCACCATTTATTAAAGAGAATGTCATTTTTCCAGTGAACATGTTTGGCCCCTTTATCAAAATAAGGTACTTGAGTGTGTTTGTAGTTGTGGTTGTATCTTCTCATCTATTCAACTGATCTTTGGCTCTATTTTGGTTCCAGTACCATGTTGATTTTACTACAGTTGCTTTGTAGTATAACTTCAAGTCAGGGATTGTGGTGCCTCCTCCCTTGCTTTTGCTGCCTCTGTCTTTGTTATTCTAGGTTTCTTCTCATTCCAGATGAATTTTAGGGGTGATTTCTCAAGTTCTATGAGGTATGTTGATGGTATTTTTATCGGGATTGCATTGCATCTGTATAAAAGTTTTGGGAGAATGGCCATTTTCACAATATTTATTCTTCCTATCCATGAGCAAGGGATGTCTTTCCATTTTCTGAGATCATCTTCAATTTCATTTTTCAGTGTGTTATAATTTTCCCTGTATAGGTCTTTCACTTCTTTCATGAGAGTAATTCCTAAATATTTCATTTTCTTGATTGCTAGTGTGAAGGGTGTGGCCTCTTATTTCTGTCTCTGTGATTTTGTGTTAGTGTATAGGAATGATATTGATTTTTGAGTATTGATTCTGTATCCTGCTACATTACTGAATGTATTTATTATATCTAGGAGTCTTCCAATGGAGCTTCAGGGATCTTCAATACAAAGTATCATGTCATCTGCAAGTAATGATAATATAACTTCTTTTCGTATCTTTACACCTTTATTTCTCTCTCTTTTCTAATTGCTCTGCTCAGTATTTCCAGTATTATATTAAATAGGAGCTGTGATAAGGGACATCCTTGTCTTGTGAGGATTTTTAAAGAAAAGGCCTTCAGTTTTTGACCATTTAGTATGGTACTGGCTGTTGTTTTGTCATTGCTGGCCTTTATTATATTGAGGTAAGGACCATCTATTCCAATTTTCTGCAAGGCTCTTATCATAAATGAATGTTGGACCCTATGAAAAGCTTTTTCTGCATCTATAGTAATGATCATGTGATTATAACTTTTGGCTCTGTTGATATGGTGTATTACATTTATTGATTTACATATATTAAACAATCTCTGCATGCCTGGGATGAATCCCACTTGGTCATGGTATATGATCTTCTCCTTGATTTGCTGCATCCTATTTGCCAATATTTTATTGAGGATTTTTGCATCTATGTTCATTAGGGAGATTGGTCTGTAGTTCTCTTTTTCAGTTGGGTCCTCCTCTGGTTTTGGTACTAGAGTAA